ATTCCACATTGTTTTATAAAGAAAAAAAGCAGAATTGAAATGACAGATTAGTGTGTTTAAACAATCAGCATTTTACGTCAGACTGTCAGACAACTGTTCTTTCTATTGTAATATCTATACTCATTTGATAGATGACTGCAGGCCCACAAAGAATTAGATGAAGTCAAATTGATGAATGATCACATAGGAGTTTACAGTAGATTTGTCCAACAGAAACCTGGCCACAAGGGGTAAGTGCAGTCAGCGGAAGATAATCATAGAATCATAGAATGCTTTGGGTTGGAAGGGACCTTTAGAGCTCACCTAGCCCAACCCCCCTGCAGTGAGCAGGGACAGCTTTAACCAGATCAGGTTGCTCACAGCCCCACCCAACCTGACCTTGAATGTTGCCAGGGATGGGGCCTCCACTGCCTCTCTGGGCAACCTCTTCCAGTGCTTCACCACCCTCATTGTAAAAAATCTCTTCCTTATATCTAGCCTAAATCTATTCTTCTTTAGTTTAAAACCATTATTCCTTGTCCTGTCACAACAGGCCTTGCTAAAAAGATTCTCCCCACCTTTCCTATAGGCCCCCTTTAAGTACTGAAAGGCCGCAATAAGGTCTCCTCGCAGCCTTCTCTTCTCCAGGCTGAACAACCCCAACTCTCTCAGCCTGGCCTCATAGGAGAGGTGCTCCAGCCCTCGGATCATTTTGGTGGCCCTCCTCTGGACCCGCTCCAGCAGGGCCATGTCCTTCTTGCGCTGAGGGCCCCAGAGCTGGACGCAGTGCTCCAGGTGAGGTCTCACCAGAGCAGAGCAGAGGGGCAGAATCACCTCCCTCGACCTGCTGGCCACGCTTCGTTTGATGCAGCCCAGGATACTGTTGGCTTTCTGGGCTGCAAGCACACATATAACTGAATTCTTTAAATCAAAAGTATAATTAAAATAGGTATAATGCACTATGTTTGAAACGGAAAAAATCCTACATAGAAAATGTAAAGACTGTTATGTGGACATATCAGTGCCACTCTCCCAAACTGGAGAAAAATCCTTTAAAAAAAATACTGAAAGTTTACAAGTCCTTGATATTCACTTTATAACAACAATTATATTTACAAAGACATGCTATATTGTTAAGGTCTACTTCAAATGCTAGGTATATGTTGTAGTCATTTCTAGTCGGTCCTCAATTTTCATTTTTCCTCAGGATGTATTTTCATTAGGGCTCTCTCCAGAAATTTTTATAAGAGAAACATCATGTAGAGGTAAAGTTATTCTTCACCGATGAGTGCTTGAAAAGGCACCTAACCTTGAAATGTAATATATCATCAAACCTATGACTGGTATGAAATCACTGAGTCAGATGTATTAGGAACATTAAGTACCACCACACTGGGTTTAAGGCTATATGAACTGAAAATCCCTAGCTCCACAGAAATGAGTTTTACAGCTGTACAACTGAATGCCTCTTACTGATGGCAACATGCTAAAGGAGAACAGAGACAATATGTAGAAGGCACAGTAACATCCCATTCTGACTAGATGGAAGTCCCAGTGGGAAGTGGTGGTTACACTAAAAGTTTTTAGACCTCATAAATGACTTTTTGGACATGTTTGTTTAATGGTTGAAAAAGAAGGAAGGTGGTCTTAATCACTCCTAAGAAATGTGCAAAGTCAAGCTGCAGGTACAATTAATTGAAGAGCTGCTTTTTAATAGTGAACATACTCAAAATCAGTATTTCTCTTTGTACAAAGACAACATCCTTTTCTTAAAATCCATGACAGTAACATCCTCATTTAAAAAGGGAACATAAAAAAGACAGAATTAATTTAAAAGAATTACAGTAACTATCTAGAATGGCATAGGTTATAGAAAGGACGCCCCCTATCAAAAAGAACATCAAAAAAATCAACACAGCCACACAGTACAGTGAAGTCTGCTATTAAAACCTCATCCTCCAAAGAGCATGGAGCCACATCCAAAAGAGTGTATACAGGAAAGAGTATAAGTTCTGGCAAGTTGAAGGTAAATCCTTAATGAAGCATGGCAAAAGTTTCAGAACCAAACTATTAAAAGCATACTAAGTAAACATCTCCACCAAAGCCTCCAAAAGCAGGAAGCCTTCCAGACCCTTTTATAGGGCTGAAAGACAAACAAGATTTATTCCAGGAGAGAGGTCTGAAGAGGTTTCTTAAGGTGTCATTAGAAGACATTTTAAAACAAGTTAGTAAGATGAGCAGTAAAAGAAATCATTAAGACCAGGTGGTATCCCATCCATGACTTCTACAGGAATTTAGAAATGATACACCAAATACTAACTATTCTGTTACTGCAATTTGTCAAAGAACAGATTGAAGACAGCAAATGTGAAAGGGTCCCAAAAGGAACAGAGTGCCACTCACCAGAACATCTGATTTTGAATGGGAAAACAGGTTGAAAGAAAACAGTAACAATAACAAAGAGCAGACACTGCTGAAAAATGAAGTTATGGGAATGACTCATTACACTTTACTTAATGGGAAGTTTTGTCCAAGAAAAAATAAATTTTATCAGTCCCACAAGTATATCAGTAAAACATATTAGGATCCCAAAAAACTTCCAACAAAGTCTCACAACAGAGGATCTTAAAATAAGATCCTGTTGTGAATTAATTATTAACTAAAACATAGGAGACAATGGGTGGGAATAAATGACTGGGTTTCACAATGAAGAGAACAAAGAGAACCTACTGAGGGACTCAGAAGGGAATCTGTGACACTTAATATATGAAAAATTATTAGAAAATTAACTGAACAGTGTGTATAAAATTTACTGAGGTAGTCAGATCTAACATTAAAATGAAGAACTGCAGAAAAATGTCACACTACTGAATCGTTACAATATGAAGGAAACTCAGATTAAGGCCAGGCTTTCCCATTTGCATTAACTCTGCATGTGTAGTATTAGGCAATGTATCATACAAAATTACTCTGGAAAGACACTGAAGTCAACATGGATGTTTTCCAAAATTGTCAGCTCGGTGCTCAGAAATAGCGTGGAAGACAAATGGAATGTTAAAGAATACAAAAAAGAAAATTATCACAAAGTGTGTGCACAACATGGTGTACCCCTTGAATGCCATGGCCAAGTCTGGTCATCTTGATTCCAACAGGATACAGAACCAGACAAGAATTATCAGAAGTCTGCAATAATCAATTTGTGTGGAAGTTAATCAGCTGATTCTTTATCTTGGAAAGCAAAGGAGTGGAGGAGATACAGTATACATATTTATTGATCATAAGTGGGTCAAAGAATATTTATTATTTTACATAATGCAAGAACTATGAGACACCTAGTGAAATTATCAGACAAGCTTAAAACAAACAAGTGAAGTTACTTTTTCCACACACGCATTAAACTTGAATTTACTGATGCAGATGTCATGGATGCTTTTAAAGTACAAGTGATTTCAAGAAAGAACTTGATAAATTCATGGAATAAAGTTCCATTGAAAGCTATGAAGAACGTGATCAAGCAGATTTAACAAATCCTTAAATCACAAACTGCTGGAAGCCAAAACTGACTACTATGAGAATTATACTGGGCTACAGGGACCTTTGGCCTAAACATATGTGGCAATTATGTTCTTACAATATGACTGTGTTCCTCGTAAGTCAATCACAGAATCACAGAATTGTGTAGGTTGGAAAAGACCTTTAAGATCATCCAGTCCAACCATTAACCTAACACTACCAAGGCCACCACTAAACCAATGATCTTATTTGCTTGACAATGCTTGATTGGTGCCTCCATAATATGGAATCTACATTAAGATGTTCTGGTAAGAAAATTATTTTTTCCCTGCAGCATTCTAGTTAATAGTCAACTCCAAGATTCTCTGTTTCTGTGGCTTCGTTTTTTTTTTTGGTTTTACTTTTACCCATTTATACTAGAAGCAGATATTCCTGAAAATAAAATATTAATACTTACCCGTTTGTCTAGCGTTCTTTCCCTTACAAAGCCAAGCAGCTGGTCATTGACTAAAGAAAGATCTCTCTTGCCCGCAGTAATAATCGTAACAATAACATCATGTCGAATGGCTTCTTCTGGGTCATGTGACCTAACCTTCAAATATTCTGTTACAATCAGAAACAATGAAAAGCTTGGCTTTTTTATGTAGGTATGATGTATTCAGATTTATTAATAATGTTAAAACAATTAAATGTCAGTCACATATCACAACCATATAATCTATTAAACATACAACTGCCTACAGGAAATACCTGTTCCAGTATTTTCTATGTTAAATATAAAACAATTATATAACTGTAAATATCAGAAGAATATAAAAGTGAATAGCTTTTACAATAACCTCATTTGCAACGAGCAATGAAGTGAAATAAAGCTGATTAGAATATATTGAAAATAAAGAGGGGTGGGGGAGTGAGAAGAAATAAAAAGAGCAGTGTCTCTCATTCCCAAAGAGCTAAGAAGGTAAATAATAAATGAAAAATACTGACAATTGCTGTAGGTTAGCTTGCATCAAAAAACAACAGTATTTTCCATTAAGTCTGAAATTATGCTCATAGTTAAAATTATGCTGAAGTGAAGGAAGAAACTTCATAGTTCAGATCAGCACAATGGCATTTTCTGAACTTAGTGGAAGAGCACTGGGGAACACACTGAGTCTTCTTGAAAATAAATCAAGATGCTGCGCCAATATTTGCTTTGACTTGCCAAAAGTATCATTAGAATCCAATATTACTTTAAAACTCATTCTGCAATAGGTAGCTTCTTAAGACTCACTCTGACAAAGTCCACACTCCTCTCTTTCTAATAACTAGCACTTGGCTTCAGCAGAAAGCAATTACTCAGTAGTTAGCTCTTCCATCCAGCATCAAGCATTGGACTTGATACATTTTAGAACTACACTGTTATGTATAGAAATAATTACATTCTTCCTTGCTCATTTCTTGAATTATTCTAAACCCCTGTATGAGCATCTCACCAGTGAGGTCTTTTGCCAAATCTGGATGGTTCATTAAACAATGACTGGCGAATTTCACACTCTCTAATCTCACAGGGACATGGATATCATTGAACCTAGAGGGGTAGAAGATGATGAATGTTAATTTTTAGTTAGCCTTGCAAATCAAGATTATCCTCTATGTAGTAACATGTGTTGATAGTATGTTCCATTAACTATTAAAATACTTTTATATGGCAAAACAATACAATAGAAATGGTTTTCATTTATCTCCATAATGTACCTCATACAAATTTTTATGTTATTTCTTGTGAAATTAAGTCAGGACTAAAATGAAAGGATGAATATGCTCTATGCAGATGAACTACTAACCCAATGTGTTTTGTCTATTGACTTTTGAACATAATTCTCCATACACTGTCAATCATGCATGTGTGTATATATATATGAAATTATAAAAATATACACTGCCATCTAACATGTACCATCTGAAAACACTCACTTTTTAAAAAACGATAAATTTCTATATTTACTTAAGAGAAAGTATCTCTTCACTCAGAAAGGTAAATGCCAAATAAGAGAGATATAGTTGCAGATATAGCTAAACAGTATGAAATTTCAGACAATACTGGCATATCTATTGTGTAATTTCTGCTATGTATGTAATGTGCTCTCTAACCAACCTATATTCCCATAGCTGACAGCAATATAGCAGCAGTCCCTCTGACTTCTTTGTTCTAAAATATAACTGTATGCAATTCTCTGCTTCGAAGATTTAACAAAAGAACTTGTTCAAATACAAACAGTTACATCCTCTAAAAATACAATGAAAAAATGCGATACTATCAGCAAATTCAGAACAAAAAGAACAGAAATTCAGAATTCTATCCCCATTTCTCTTACCGCCCAAGAAAGCACTGCCAAAGAGGACGATTTTGTGTGGCCAGATCAGAATCTTTGGAGCCAAAGAGTTTAGCCAGAAGTCGAACAACAGCCAAACGTTCTTCTCCATCATTGCTCTAAGAATCAAAACATGAAAAAGGAACTGTAAATCATTATCCATAATATCTTAAAAGTAATTTCTGGCTTCCTTTTCCTTCTGCTTTTACAAGTTAGATTAAAAAGTGAGTTTCAAATAATTTCCTCAGTCTCCCTAATTAGATTATTAGATGAGTATGAATAAAAATATGCAAATACCTATTAAGTTAACATATTACAGCTATTGAATAGATGGCTGTGCTTTAAAAATTCCTTCACTTTCAAGAATAAAAACCCATGCACAGTAGCTTGAATAACATATATCCCTAACAATTTCAACAATGACTGATCTTATTTTCCTTTTAAAACATACTTTAAGACTATTTCATGTGTGTGGAAAAGACACCAATTAAGAAGTTATAAATAGATGTGCATTAATAAAAGATATATGTAGTTTCACCAAAAACCTGTTTCTTCGTTACTTTTGTTTGTTGCCACCATACCCTATGTGTACATGCACACACATAAAATTATTTATCTTGTCCACTTACAGTCTTATGAAAGACAAATAGCTTTTTAATTAGAAAAAACCCAAACCCCCACATCAGGATAAATTAACTATTTCCAAGGATTCAAAAGAAGTCAGCCGACTTATTAGCTGATTATGACAAATCTGAGAAAACATTTGGAAATACTTCCTCTATTATTAAAACATTATTTCACAAAAGAAAATTCTGCACATCAATACTGAAGCTGACACACTTGCATTTCATGAGATAAGCCACCCACGGGCTAATTACTTTATATACTTCAGGTGAAAACCTAAGATTAAGTACCTATAACTTTTGCATTAGATCATATGAATTTATCATTACAATGATTATACATTTTGTGTGTATAATACATGTTTGCAAGCACAGAAAGCACACAATTGTATACAACTTTCCAGTGTCATTCCTTTAATATTACATTTATCTTTAAAATAAAGTGATAAATACAAAATTTTATCCCTCCAGCAGAACACTTACTAAATCTACAGCTCTGCACTCTTAATATCCACACACATTTTATTACTTGTCCAAAGCTACATTGTAACCTACCTTCAGCTTGAATTCAAGCTGTGGCATGACAGACAGCAGTAAGTGAGGATCTATGGCAAAAAGCTCTTGTATCAAGTCAAACACATGTTCTGATAAGTCACTTACTGAAGACTTTCCCAGTACCAGAACCTGGTTAAAAAACTAGAATACAAACAATATTATTTAGCAGGTTTTCCTTCATTAATGCAAACAGTATTTAAAAAAAAATTATTTTAACATAGTATCATTGATACTTTAATTCTAATGGAAGGTACTCAATGCATTTTTTTTTTCATTACATCAAAGCATTTAACCTTTACAGTTTTGGCTCAAGCAAATTACAAACAAACATCCTTCATAATTTGGTTCTATCACTTCCATCAAGATTGATTAATTCATGGTAATTTGATAATTTAAAATATAAATAACTATCTCCCCAGCAAAATTAACAGGTAATAAAAGAACTGTTAATTTAAAATGTATATTCAGCCAGTAGAAGTTGAGAAAAAATTAATATCTTATTTTTAATTTTCTTATAATTTAAAACCAATCCAAATTGAAGATCACCAAATGTTGAAAAAGAAGCTTCTCTATTTTTAATCTATTTTAACAAATGTCAGATGACTTTATGATATGTCTTGTGATATTTGACAGTAATGTATCAAGGTTGTTAGCGATCTAACAGAAAAAAACAAAGTAGCCTAAAATATGAATTATTTCTTTGGGATTTGTTAAATTTTAATATGCTTGATATACTTCCTATTAGATACTGTGGGTTAATATTAATATTATTTGAGCAGTGCAAATGCTACAAAGCTATTATACACTTGAATAAGAAAGTAAAAAGAATAATATTAAATCAACTCAAAGGTCACTCTATGCACTATCCTGTTTCCAGCTATGACTAATTACAAAAGCTTAAAGAAATAGGGGAATTGGAAAGTGGTACTTATTAGTGAGATTCCTTGAGCTTTTAAATACTTACTGATTAATCTTTTATGAATTTGCCTAATTCCCTTTTTAAACCACTCCAGACTTTTAAGAATTCTATTGGCTTCAATACCAAAGAAAGGTAACAGAATGGACCAGACCACATCCCCCACAAGACTGCAGTAGCTATTTTAATAGGTAGAACATACAACATTGCATTCAACAAAAGGAATTCTAGTAGAAGGAAGCCTTGTAAAAAACTTGGTTCTTTTAATCTTTACGACTAAAACAAGTTTAGGATGGAAAAAAAAAAATCTAGTAAAGAGCTGGTAGTTTGAAATGTTTCATCCTAAAACTTGGTATGAAATGAGGCTGGCTGGTTGCTGGATGTATGAACTACTAACAATTCCTTTTGTTGCAACACGATTTTTTGGTGGTCACCTGTTTTCACAGCCTAGATTTAGGTGTAACTTTAGACTGAGATGGGTAAAAATTAATTTCCTCGTCACTTATTCGAAACACCTCACATACTTCTCTAACAACCAAGCTAATAATATCCTGTTTGGAAAATGGTATTCTTGTAGCTGCATTACAAAATGTGACTTTTATGAACAATACTTTTAAACAAACAAACCTCCAAAAAATTGAGACAGTAACACAAACACTTGTTACTTGTAGGTAACATGGATTAATTAATTTACATACGTTGGCAATACACGGTTCAATGGTCTGGACAGTCCTTTTCAACAGGACTTTTGCAAGATCAAATGCTTGTTTATTAAGGTTCTGAAATAAAGAAAAAAAAATAAAATTTTAAAGAGACAAACTATTTCAGATGACACTACTTTTCTCTCCCAACCTCAAAAGACCATCACTTTAGAAAGGTATGTTTTACCACCAATCTATTTGTTTTCAAAGCTATCTAAGTTCAGTTACGTTAATTCCACAACTACAGACTTAGAAAAATCTTAAACCTAGTTTAAGTTTTAACACTTAAAAGAAATCTAACCCAAACCCATCACTTCCTGCACATTCTTCTAAGACTTTATCACTTCAGTTGCTATCTTTAGCATTGCATTCATATCTATACGTTTTCACGCGCAATCACATTGAAAATTTTGAAGAAACATTACCACACCTCCAAACTTTGATAATTAACGTGAGCCATATTTTGCCACTGAAAAATTAACTCGTCTAACTTACTATTTAAATGTGGTTTTGTTTCCCCCTCACATACTCATTAAAGGTACACCCTGTAGCAAAGTTCAGCCTTGTCTAGAGGGTAAAACTGTACACTGACTTCTCCATGGACTGTACTGTATGCTGAGACAGCCCACAGAAAGCACCTACACTTCAGCAGTTAGCTGCAAACTTTCCAAGTAAACGTTTGATTGCAACATAACAAATCTGAACATCGTTTTTATTAGTCTTAGGCAAGATAAGGAATGTAACTGCACATCTGAAAAATGTGACTGTCCAAATCTGCACAAAATCCAATATGCAATATCTCATCTCATCTAGGGATTAATGCAGCTTGG